TCCATATTACAATCTCCGGATTTGATTAATCAGCGTTTTGTAACAAATTCTCAATATTACTTGCAAGTCAGAGCGCAGAGTGACTAACAGCCCAGATTGAAGCAATAAATAACCGCTTAGGCGAAACAATAGAGAACAAAAGGACTATTGTTCGGAGATTAAGTGAAAGGGACACAAAAATGAATATATAATAGCCCACAAAAATGAATATATAATAGCCCACAAATATTCATGAGCACACAGATTTTTTCCACAAATCCCACAAAAAAGGGGGTCCGTGCTCCCCCGCTAATACTACTCAGAAGGGTGCAAAGTTAATTTAAATGAGACAGAACATTATAATACAATTCAAGTAATAGATTGCCGCCTCTACCAATGAGACAACACATCGAATACAACTGATAGCGCACACTAGATTTCGCCTAGTTGTCTTATAAACCTTATACAGAAGCGAGAAAATAATGTAAGTTGGTTGTTTTTAGCAATGGCTGACTATAAAATTTATTGCGGTGGGGGAGTGCCGTTGGGACCTTAAAACCCTTACCATGTTCCACAGTGAAATCGGCTGAAAATTATACCCTGTTCATAGACTAAATAGATGTTTTTTTTAGTTGGGATTCGAACAATAGAATCCTCTCCTCTTGAGACTTTTTCATAGACTGTTGAAATTAGTTTCCTTTAAGAAAAACCTGTTCATGCGAAAGCGAGCAATCAGAATTTGAATATTGTTAACAGTCATTGTGCACACGATGTCGAACAGCGACGACGGTTTGTTTATAGCTCAAAATACGTTTGACAGCATTCCTTTGCCGAACTTTGGTATTGACGATTTGCTATCGGATTTGGAACTCCGCATGCCTCTGCCCGCAAATAACGATGACAAAGTCTGCAGATGTTAAAGGAGCCGTCCCAGGGTGATGCTTTGCGCGCTTATGTTATTGTTTACATACGGCATTGTCCAACGTGTAAAACGAATAATACCAAAGTATCTTTAATATTTTCAAAAATTCTAAAAAAGCTAGTGCTACAGTACTAAACAAACATGCTGTAGTTCTGGCTCATACCAAAAAAAATTAACCCGAACAACTGATATTTAATAAGCGGCAACTTTCGTTCGAGTCGATCGGAAAGTTTTTTCAAAGGTCAATCACGAAATCACCGACCATAAATGACTGCACCCAGAAAGGTATAAGGGAGATATTACGGATAAAAACAGCTCTAGCTAGAATTATTTGTTCGCGGATTGATTACTGATAAACTTTTACTGCGCTGTAGGTGTTTCTTCTTTTTTTAGCCATAAACAGCCTTTACGCGACATTGAAGAGCGCTGGTTAGAATCTCCAAAAGTTCCTGCCGAATAGAATTTTACAAGATGTACATGAAGCTTCAATAGTCATAAGGTTAAATAAAACATTTTTTATGCATCTTTATGCATCAAAAACGGCCATTCAAAAATCTAAAAATATACACTGACTATGATGTGGTTGATGTATGAACTCTCCGTACTGATTGGATCAATCAAAGAGAAATTGTTTTAATTGGCTTATGAACAGCACCTTTTAGATGCCTGCTGAGAAATCTTTTAGCTCTAAAGCTCATCATGAATTGCAATAGTTTTTGATGTTGAACTCGCTCAAAGAAATACGAGGGAAGGATTCCAGAAGGAACAAAGTAAAGTACCAGATGGTGTGTACGTGCTTGGATAGAATGGGCCGAGAAGCGGAGAAATACCAGTCACACTATAATTACTTCTGATTCATACACGTTGGTCAATTCCGAAGTATAGATTCTTTTAAAAGTAACGAAGATCTTAGTTATTGTTGTCTTATTTATTGTTATTCTCTGGTGATGAACATGATAGAAAAGCTTCGGGACTCGAACTTATTACGCTCTCAATCTCGTCAAGTTTTGCTGGCCACACTGGTCTTTTTTAGGGGAAAAAATCGTTTAGTTTACTTAGTTTATTTGATATTCAGCAGGGAACTGCTATATAGCAGTGATCCCGGTCACTCATATATAGCCCGCTGAATTTATAACGGCCTATTCAATTCAATTCATCAACCCCACATTTCCCTGCTGAATATCAAATCCCTCCCCGGCTTTAAGTTTGTATGGTATATACAACCCTATGAATAACAAAGAAAACCTAGTGAATTGGCCAACTAATGATAGTAAATACCTTTCTCAAAACATGC